AGTGGGAGGAGGAGAGAGGGGGAAAAGGTACAGAGATAAGTAGCATAAATGGTAGGTAGAAAATAGACAGGGGGAGGGCAAGAATAGTATGGGAAATGTAGAAGCTAAAGAACTTATGACACATGGACATGAACTAAAGGGGAGGAATGTGGGTGGGATGGGGTGTGCAGGGTGGAGAGGAATGAAGGCGGGAAATGGGACAACTGTAATTGCATAATCAATAAAATAAAATAATTTAAAAAAAATTTTAAATGTATGCTCTGTAGATTCAGATGCTAGAAATACAACCAGGTAGTAAAAATCACAGAGCTGACCTTTCACTGAACAAAAACAAGCAGTTTAACAATCAGAGCTGCCAAGCAACAGGAGGGCAGCCTTGGAAGGGAGCTGGAGGCGGGAAATTATAGTGATTTAACATCTCCATTGTCCCAGACATTCGACACAGGACACAGGACACAGGACATCTCCATGTTAGAAGGAAAATGAAGCTTAGAAAACAAAAGCAAATTGTCAATATCACAGTTGGTAAGTGGTACAGCTGAAACTCAAACCCAGCGGTAGCTAGCTACTAAAGCATGTTTTTTTTCCAGTTCAATTCAACTCAACAAACGTTACTTTTTAAGGTCGGCTTTTGACCAGGCAATGTGCCCGATGCTGGGGACACAAAGATAAATGACAGGCGGAACAAGTCCTTCTTTTAAAGGACTCTCAGTTCATCTTCTCCATTGTGCTGGGAGTGTCTGGGGAAAGGGCAGATGACCATTCAGGACTGTGGGAGAAAAAATTATTAATCTTAACCAAATAATCACTAAGGTACATTCTAACTCTAAAAGTTTATAGATGTGGATTCCTTAAGGTGTAACAGATATATTCCTAATGTTGACATAATAATAGATTTCTGGAAATTGAGCCACTGGTATTTTATGAAATTTGGTTGTAAATTTCCATATGGGAAAAATGGAGCTTCAACTATAATAAAAATCACACAGATTAAGCAGCTCTTAAAATGGCCACATCATAATAAAAGTATTACTAACAAGTTACAAATTTATCCATTGTACTAAAGCTTCATATACTGTGCCAGAAATTTCATTAGCTTGAGGCAAGATTCAGAAGAGGGGAGCGTGTTCTTGGCAACCACAGTGATGTGGCTCGGAGTGTCTCGATCACAGGCAGGTTTTCTGAGTTCAGGTCCTGGATGGTCATATTACTCATGCACGTTGGGCAAGTTTGGACCTCTCCATCAGTCACGTGCCCCATCAGTAAAATGAGATGGTATAATAATAGGACCTACCTCAACAGGGTTGTTAAAAGGACTCAGAAAGTTAATTCATGTAAAGAATTTGGAACAGTGCACCTGGCTGGTGTAGCTCAGTGGATTGAGCGCGGGCTGCGAACCAAAGTGTCGCAGGTTCAATTCCCAACCAGGGTACACGCCTGGGTTGCAGGCCATAACCCCCAGCAATTGCACATTGATGTTTCTCTCTCTATCTCCCTCCCTTCCCTCTCTAAAAATAAATAAATAAATAAAAGAATTTAGAACAGTGCCTGGCACACTGCTGGCAGTCAAACGTTCAGTTATCTGCACTTCTAAGTACAGGTTTAATCTCTCCTACGGTCAAGATTTCCACTTTACAACTCTAGTCTTCTGCATTCCACCCACAGCAGCCTGTCTTCTGGGACATCTCATTTTCATACAAACAGCAATTCTGGTTAGGAACGCTGGCATAATTGATGCTCTGTAAATACTGCAGTAAATTCTACCTTATTTAACAATCGAGAGTATTCAGTAGTATTAGAAGTTTTACTATGCTGTTTTGTGATTTCATCAATGTTGATTTTAGTTTAATTTAGATCCAGTAAGAGTTCAATAAATATTCTCCAAATAATGAGAGCCTCTACGTAGGCTCTCTTTGAGTATGTTAAGACCTATAGTTTGAGACAGAAAACCCAAATTTGAGCTTGTTTACTAATTATCTGCCTAGGCACGACAGTGATCTATCTGTTCTCTTTAAGCTCTCGGCACAATGATGCACCTCAAGGCAACCCAGGGACTTCCCCCCTCTATTTCTGGCTCTGGAGGATTCACTCCTAGTTTGGTTCTTTGATTTGGGTTATTTTTTTAATACTCCCTGTACTTTAAAAATTATTTAAAGCAGTTTGCCATTAAAGATAATTATACCAGAAGCCCTGGCTGGTGTGGTTTGCCATTAAAGATAGTTATACCAGAAGCCCTGGCTGGTGTGGTTCAGTGGGTTGAGTGCTGGCCTGCGAACTGGAAGGTCGCTGGTTCATGATTCAGTGACCTGGTTCATGTTAGAGCACATGCCTGGGTTGTGGCCTGGGTCCCCAGTTGGGGGCATGTGAGAGGCAATGGATTGGTGTTTCTCTTGCACATCGATATTTTTATCTCTCCTTTTCTCCCTCCCTTCTCCTCTCTCTAAAAATAAATAAAATCTTTTTTTGAAAAGATATATATACCATAAGACTGATGAAAATGTTTGAAAATAACATTTATTTGAAAAACCTAGGTTAGTTTTTACAGTTAAACATAGTCCTGGAGCTTTTTAACAACCAAAACAGAAACAAAAACCACTAGCTTTCAGCCCGTCAGAGACGGTATCTAGAAATACATTGCAGGCCCGCTTGGAAGACCACGAAACAGACAACCTGCTCTTTTTTTTCCTTTTCACTACCTGACAAACCTGAATGAAGACTTTCATCAGCCAAATATCCTGGAGCTATTTTAGATTTAAAAATACATCCATTTGGATGCAACAAGTTATTCTCTTCCTGCAAATCAACTATTGAAAATGCATAAATATTGAAGGGCTCTAACAAAGAGATTCAGTCAGGAGATCATGGTGCTTATAGCAAGTCCCTAAATTGTGAGCCTATAACACTGCCCTCCCCAGCTTAAGGTCGGCCCAAAAGTCTAAATTAGTGGTTCTTGAGGTGTGGTCTCCAGAGCAGCAGCCACAGCATCAGGTACTGTGAACTTGTTAACAATAAAAATCTGTGAGTCCCCCTGAGAACCACTGACTTAGAAGCTCTGGGGCTAGGGCCCAGGACTCCAGTTTTGATGAGTTCTCTGATTCCAAAGCTCACTAAAATTTCAGAACTTATCTGAATGAAGGGCTCCTCCAATTTTTCCTTCTTTACTGCTTCACTTCATTCCTAACTTGCATCCTCATTCTTAATTACCAACTCCTGCTGCTTATTACAGATCTACTCATTGGAAGCTGTGCTCAAGCATGGGGTGCCTAACAGAGGGTGCTCTGTCAATCACCACTGTCTCACCTCGACAGAAAAACACCTCTGGATTCTCTGCCCCTTCCTCAGCCTTCGCGGTTCCTCAGCTGCAGCTGCTGTGACCACGGAGATGTGCAGCCTGAGGATCTGGACTCACTGGTCACAGTTCTCCACAAATCACCTGCACGTTCATGCACTGGGTCCTCACATTGCCCAGGTCACATCCTGTCTGCCTACTTGCCACATGAACCTGCTGCTCACGGCCGCTGAGGTTGCCCCCTGAGGCTGTTTGCTATCTAGTTTAAGCAAGGGTGGTAGTCTATGTCACCGCATGACCTTGGACCCACTTCTGCAGTAGATGCTTGTGTCACAGCAAAGCCTGGGATTGAAAAGGTGAATGACAATTTCTTAGGAGGAAGAGAGTCTGGTACTTACAAAGGGTAAGGAAGGGATGGTCTAAGCCCAGGACATACCGATGCATCAGTTAAAAAGCCAGAGAGCAGCTTGATTTTTAGCAATCGTTTGCAGTGGAGGGAAGAGAGGCAGGACATCCTAAAAGCTGTCTCACGTTCTTCAGATTACTTAGTACTAAGAATACATTAACTTCTACTTAGTTGGCTCCTTTCTTCTTAGTTGGTCTCCGCAAGCCATACTACTATATTTGGGCATGTCCACGACAGTGAACTAGGTAAAGCACAAACCTTACTGTAGATATTCATTTAGTTCACTGTAATATGGAATGTGTAAATGTGGATTATTGATTAAACTTCAATAAATTTTGGACAACTTATATCTCAGAATAATGAAGCCCTATTTGCAATGTGTCACTGATTTTAAGAAATGTATCAGTGGGTTCCTTCTGTTATATGTCACACTATGGAGCAATTTTTCACCCCACCTTTTTCTATGACTAAAACGTTCGACCACGCAGCCCACTTAGTCGTAGACCTGGGACCTGTTGGTCACTCCCGCTGCACTGGCGTAGGAGTGAGATGACATCAGCACCTCTTCTGCAGCTTTCATATCAAAAAACTGGAGTGAATGATTTATTATAAAGTTCCCAAAAATGCTCTTAAACAGGTTTGGTGGATAAAGCTGCTTTTGGCTCTCCCTGTGCTCACCTTCACTGGCAGACTGTTTGAAAATGACCTGGCACATGCTGCAGCCGTGGGGAGGCTGGAGAGACGCAGGGCGTCCCGTGGAGGCCCGGGGATTGGGGAAGGAGAGCTCCCACCTCTAACTCACACAGGGTGTAACTGGCTGGCTGCTTTGTCTACAACCAGAAAAACAGTTTATGGTTCTGCAATGCCAGACTCTGTGACCCCTCAGAACACTCTCCCAAGGCCTCCCACCCCAGTATCAGGAGTTGTGAGCAAACACCACTGTCACTGTGGATCAGTGTGGACCCACAGCATCCTGGCCCGCCCTTCTTCTCCACAATGTACTCAAACAGGGGAAGACGGAAGAAGTGCTGCAGTCACTGTATTTTTAAAACCCCTTTGCAAAGACAGCAAGCCCCAATCTCAAATACTCAATAAATAAAGGTTCCAATTCTCAATAAACAAGGAGAAAAGTTCATCTCAGAACAAGCTGTCATTTCACTAAAAAAAAAAAAGCCGAAAAAATGCTAGCGTCAGTATTACGCGCTTCTTGCTTAATATAGCTCCTCTGATTAAGGAGACAGGTTTTATTACAGAACTTGAACTTGTTTCTCTCTCCCACAAATCTCTCTCAGGGCATGTGTTTACCTCTTTCAGGTCCTGCACCACGGCGGTGAGCCTCTCATTCTCTGCCTGCACGTTAGTGACCACAGCCCGGCTCTGCTTCAGTTCGTTCTGCATCTCCAAGATCTTGCCCAGATAGTAAGCTTCCTTCGAGGCGGACTCCTGAAGAAGCGTCTCCTCCCTGGTCTCTCCATCCTCAGCAACTTTCCGGTGGATGGAGAAGGACTGGCCAAAAGCCTGCCGGGTATTTGAAAAGACAAAGAGCGCACAATGAAATGCACCAGAAGAGTGCTATTAAACAGGCTTGGGGAAACGTTTCGCTTTGCTTTGCTTGTGAGAAGAGCTATTATGCAAGGCCTCCAGAAGCAAAAACTACACATTTTACATAACAGTCTAGCAGAGCTCATTGATACTTAAAATAACTCAAATTCAATTAGTATTAAGAAATAAATTGTTTAAACATCTTGCTAAAATATATACATAAGGGGTTAAAGAAAAGCTGAAAAACATTGCTGCTTGCTTTGTTACAAACCCTTTCACATTTGTTACAAACCCTTTTTTTTTTGACAGTTTAGTGCTAATGGCCATATCAAAATTCACATTCTCATTTTCAGTCTAGAAAAATCCCCAAAATATTTTTCAAGAAAGAAAATAATAGTTTTATTAGCTTTCTAATACATCAACAGTAAGGATACACCAATCATAAACAGTACCCTTGAGAGACAAAGTCACTGAACAGCATTCAAATGGCACAGTACCACAAAAAAAAAAAAATCAAAATGTAGTCACTGTAGGGATACAGAATAAGCCAGAAACTAATGAAATTGGTTAACTTCAGGAGGTGAGGGGAGTCGGCAGAAACAATGGGGCAGTGACATGTGACACCAAGGACGAGGGGCGCGCTTTTCTGAGACACCTCTTCACACAGTTCTGACTCAGAACCACAGTGACGTTGCCCATTTCCTCCCGAATAACTGGTTGAAACCACCCTCTCTGTGTCGGGAGAGCCCAAATGGAACCCAAACAACGAATGCACGTGGCCGTACTGCAAACAAACAACATAACTACACTGAAAGGGACAGAGAAGCAAAGGTCTACCCTGAATAATTTTGGAAATCAGTATTTTTGTTATATACCATAAAGCTAAAGACAACAAAACTGTACCCAAACACTACTGTCTAGTTAGTAAATTTGCTTCTCACAGGGATCATGGAGTCACAACTCTGAAACTTATTTACGTGTGAACTACAGTTGGGCAAATGAGTAAACACAATACAGGTAAGAGAAAGCCCGTTTCTCACTGTTGGGGAAAGGAGTTACAAAAAAAGGAAGGGAAGATGTCTAGAAAGAAATGAGTGGTATTGGCTTGTAATGAGAAATATCAGGATGAACTTATACTCTTTACTAGGTAGATATTCATACAGAAAAAGAGATATAGAGGAAGAAAGGGGTTTGTATGTGTGTACGTGCACATTTCCTTACTCTGTCAGCTGACAGGGCATAGAAACAATGCTATGCCAGTAGCAATGAGCATACCTTGCACCCAAATTTTGTCTCTAAATATCAATTTCCAATTTAAAAAACTGGAGGTCTTTCAAGAAATGACCAACTTTGGGGCTAGAACAAAAAGAACTTGGCACATCTTATTGTGCCAAAGAAGAGGTGATAAACTACTTCTTAAAAATGATGGGGATGCCCTGGCCAGGGAGCTCCATTGGTTAGAGTGTCGTCCCAATGCACCACAGTTGGTGGGTTTGGTCCCTGGTCAGGGCACATACAAGAATCAGCCAATGAATGCGTAAATACGTGGGACAACAAAAATCATGTTTCTCTTTCTGTTAAAATCAATAAATGACAAACTGATGGGAATATGTCAAGGGACCCAAGAACCTACCTGAAGGGGCTCCCAGGGGCCAGATCTGGGATAATTTAGGCAACAGAATAAATAATCCTATCCCTGAGTCCACATTGATATACCAACTGAATAAATGAGGGAAGAAGAAATAGCTCTTATAGAATTCTAATTAATAAATGTAGAAGAAATGATGGAAATAAAATACATCAGCATCTGGCAAACACCAAGTAATAACTGTTGCAGGTAAGAATTATCAGGGGAGCCCTAGCTCGTGTGGCTCAGTGGATTGAGAGCCAGCCTGTGAACCAAAAGGCTGCTGGTTTGATTGCCACTCAGGGCACACGCCTGGGTCGTGGGCCAGGTCCCTGGTTGAGGTTGTGAGAGAGGCAACCAATCGATGTTTCTCTCACACATGGATGTTTCTCCCCCTCTTTCTCCCTCCCTTCTCCTCTCTCTGAAAGTAAATAAAATCTTTAAAAAAAAGAATTATGAGTGGAATATAAAATTAATAGGCAAAAAGTATAATGAAAAACAGGTTATCTGCATAGTCTTCAGAAATGTCCACTCAAGATATTTACTAATTCCAATGGGAAAAACAGTAACTTTGCAACAGAGGGACTTGATAGACCTTAACTAAGAGATCAAAAGTTAGATCAGCAACGAGACATGTCGACATTACATACACTTGATACAATAACACCAAAAGGAACACAGCCTCACTTCTGTAGTATTTTTGCCAAAAATGCATAAGCAAATTCTTAGCATGAAAAAAATTAAATAAACCCAGCATGGGACACATTCTATAAAATTATTGGCCAGGGCTCTTCAAAAAGATTAAAGCAAGAAAAATAGAGAAAACTCCTCCAGATGAGGTGCAACTAAGGAGACACAATTAAGTACACTGTAGGATCCTGGACCTACACAAAGACATTAGTAAGACAGCTGGCAAAATTAGAATAGATATGTTATATTGGTTAATATTACTGTATCAGTGTCAATTCTGGTTTCCATAATTACACTATGATTATGTAAGATGTTAACATTTGGGGAAGCCGTGTGAAGGGTACGTGGAATTCAGTGTAGTAGTTTTGCAATGTTTTTCTGTGTCTTGAATTATTTCAAGATAAGTGTAGTTTCTGCCCTACAGGAGTTGATAGATCAGATGAAATACTGGCACACAGGATTAAAATCATACACGTGCTCAGAAAGACACTTGACTTTGGGTGGTGAGTGCACGATGCAGTGTGCAGATGATGCGTTATAGTTGTACTCTTGAAACCTGCATGGTTTTATTAACCAATGGCACCCCAATAAATTCAATAAAAAACTTTAAAGTATCTCTATCAGTAAAAAACATATTATTGTCTTTTTGTCTTAAATAAATAAGGAAAGAAGCATGCATGTGCTTTAGTGCCAAAGGGATTCTATATTCAGTTACAAGTACTATGGCTCTAGATGTAACTTACATTGTTAATACAATTTGAAACTTAGGGTTATAGGAAGTGTATGTGCTTCAACACCAAAGGGATACTATATTCAGTTAGAAGTGCTATGGCTTATGATGTAATTCATGCTATTAATATTTTGAAAATTAAAATGTCATAAAATGATGCTTCTGGGCTATGTAGAGTCCGCAAAGAAATAAAGCTGGAATTAACCTGTGAAACTCAGTTTCACATTTGTTACAAACCTAAAGGCAGAAAAGGCATATGTTAATCATTATAATGGACATCATAAACAGTAGGAGCAGACAGTTTGATTTAGCAATTTTAAAAACAACCTGATACTGTTCTCCAAATTAAACTCATAGAAACAGAAATTTTATAAAATACTGACATGGAAACCCAGGTCTCAATGAACTTTCTTAGACTCCTGACCTGGACCAAAGACAAAAGATGGTTCCTAAGCACCGACTAGGACAGAAGTCTTCCAGGTGTCGATGTTCACCTGTACCGAGTGCAATACTCCTGGTGTTTGGACAGGAAGAAATTCTTACTTGAGTAGCCACATTTCCACATGTGGTAAAAAGCACACTGACTCATGAATAGATGAAAAATTATTTTAGATAGCGATGTTTACTTTGCTTTTCCCTCAGCAATGGTCAGATTCTGTGAGGTCGATTCTGGATTCACTACCCATTAAAAAGCCTGTGGAGGGGAAGGGTCTGGAAGCACGGCTCCCCACAGGACATGGTGAAGTCTTCAGCTCACCAGGGCAAAGGAACCCTGATTCTATAGCCAAGTATTAGTACAATTTAAAACGAGCATGAACTGTGTGTCAAGCACCTCAGCTAGCTTCTTTTTCACAACTACTTTCCCACTTCTGTGTAACAGAGAATTCCACGGGGCCATTTTCCTTACCCTGCCTGAGGAAAATCAATAGACACAGGCAGTGTCTGGCTCCCATGTGATTCTCAGCACACAGGCCACGGTCTCCTGGCAGCAAAAACAACCCCTACAGTGTTAACAGCAAGTGAATATCTCCATCCACCTTGATGTAAAGTTTTTAAAATTGCACTCTGGATCCAGCACCAGAGGAAATTTTAAAACTTCAGATATATACATAAAATGGGTTTTCAAAAAGGTGTCAAAAATGGAAATTTCAAATATAAAAATTTTAATGAATCCTTAATTCATATTTATTGCATCTTAGAAACTTTAGCTGAACATATGGGTTTCCAAAAGCAGTCATTATTTTTATAAAGAACTTGGTCTTTCACTGGACCTGATTTTAAAACCAATGAAAGGATGCAGGGTTATCTGAGGCTATTTTTAATTAAAATAGAAAAATAACACCAATTCTGCACAGGCTACATACAGATAGATGCCCAGTGGTCAGCATATCCAAATCCACTGAGAATTAACACTAGTCAGAAATTACCCTCACTTTAAAGAGAGGGTGAAGGAAAAAAAACCCCTACTTTACCTGATTCCTAATTGTCAGTAACTAAAAGGGGGCGGGGCGGCCAACTGACATCTACCACTTGGTTAATCCTGAAAACTGATTTGCCAGGCCCGCCTGGCTTTGCCAGCGCCTCCCCCTCCGTCACCATTCCAAGTGCATCCTGACAATGCTGGGCCCAAGAGAAAAGAAACGATCCTTTTCAAGGCTGCATCCTTGGCAGGAATCACAAGACTAGCTTCGATGTCTATATATAGGCAAACCTAGGGTAGTCGTGCTTCTGGTTATGTGTTGTCCAGACAGCAAATTCCTTTCAGACACTGATCATTTCATGGTAATTTTTATTTAAAATTAATTGAGGTAAACTAATATTTCTGTACAATTTTAAAATGTATTATGATTTCTCATCATGTATGCAGCTAAAATATACAATATTGCCTTTAATATATTCCACTGCAATGCATCACAGTTGCTGTAAATC